TAATATTGTGAAGATCGACATTTATAGGATGACTAGAAAGGGGAAATTCGTGCTTTGCATGGGCCCAATCATCATTATTTGAAATTCGTAATGTTTATTGATGACACATATAGCCACTCAAAAATAGTCTAATTACTCTCCATAGCAATAGTTTGATAATTACAATTCGTAGCTACATGTTATAGGGAGGAGAGAGGCGAGCAAGACTGGGAGAGAGAAGAGAGGCCAACGAGAGAGGGCAAATAATGGGAGAGAGGTGAATTGTATATGTATATCAATTAGATAATTGTATATTATACATATGTATATTGTATATATGGCAAGCGAGACTGGGAGAGGGAGGAGAGAGGCGAGTGAGATTGGGCAGAGAGTGGGAGAGGTGAATTGTATATGTATATCGGTTAGATAATTGTATATTATTGTCACATCCCTTTTTTGCACGGCGGAGGGTTTTTCCAATTTAAGTGACAATATTGATTTAGGGATTATTTTATTTGTTTCAGAGTCGCCACTTGGAATTGAGTAATGGTGTTCCAAGTCACATTTTTGTTTAATCCCTAATAAAAAAGAAATGACTCTTTAATATGATCTGCAAACTAGAAATTCATGTAAGGAATTCTATTGACCGAGGGGAAGGTATTAGGCATCCCTCGAGTCTCATGGTTCTAGCATGGTCGCTTTTATCAACTTATACTTGACTTAAATTATTTTTGGATTTATTACTAGAGGCCATGATTTGCTCACAATTTTTACTGTTGAAATTTTATTGGTCTCAGCCTAGATGCGTAACTGCATTCTTGGTCTTGACATTTAGAGGCATAACTGTCTTCTTTGTATCACACTTAATAATTTTGTCTAGAAGTCTATACTTTAGATTAATGAAAGTTAATTGTAATATTCAACAAGGTGCGTCACCGCATCCTTGAGTTTCTTTTAATGTCTCAAAAAGATGTGCAACCACATTCTTAATTGAAACAAATATTTTTAACGTGCCTAAAACTCATCTAGTATTAAAAATTCTTACTCTTATTTTTGTGAATTCAAGACAACTAATCTTTGTATTCCATTATTATATTAATCAATAATGATTTTTTAATTAAATTAGTCCCTATATCAAAGGATTCCACCAACCCAAAATGGAGTAAATTCAAGTTTAATAATATAACTCATTTGCTTGTTTATTGGATAATGACTCATTTATTCAAAAATACATAAATTTAAATAGGCAATTGACATCCATATTAAGCTACAATAATAGCATAAAAACATTAGCTTAGGCATCATAAAATTGAATTACAACAAAAAAAATAAAAATCTTACAGAATAATAAGATATTATTCATCTTTTAGAGATTTGCACTAAGAAATAACATAAATAATAACTCAAGGTGACTAATCATGTGAGCAGTTTATGTAATCTCTCAAAATAAAATCAAGATGACAATATTCATTTCAATCAAATTATGAATGAAACAAAATTATTAAAAAAAACTCATCACATAATTACATCAAATTCCATAAATAAAATAAAAAGATATGATAAAGTTGAACCTCAAATGAAGAAAATAAATATCGTAGGATTTGATCGAATCTCGATTGAAACACCCACAAATCTTTTATTGTTGTGCGTGGATATTTTATTGGGTGTTGTCCGTATGTATGTTGGTTTTGGGGCATATGCGCATTGGAGTTTAGTATTGTGCAAATGTGTGCGTGGGTATGCTGATTTTTGTATTGTTTTTGGTGGGTGTATAAATGTATGTGTATATGGGTGTTCTGGGTGTTGTAGTCGTTTTCTGTGTATATAGTAATGTATGTGTATAGCGTTTAATGCATGCATTAGGTGTATGTATTAGTAGTATCTTATTTGGTACACTTTTTCATGTCATGTATAACTAATGCTATACAGTTATGTGTTTTGTGTGTGTGCAGACGTGTGGTGTAGGGTGAAAAGAGGTGGGGTGAGGGTAATGGGTTAGTGTTAGAGCCGTCAATATGGGCTAGGCCCGTTGGGCCGGCCTGGCCTAACCCGTGATTTGATGGGGCTGGGCTATGATTTTTGGAGCCCATTTAAGAAAAGGACTTTTTAGCCTAACCTGAATAAGCCTATCAATTTGTGGGGCTTGAGAAATATGGATAGGGCCGGCCCGTGGGCCAAAAAAAATTAATTAAAAAATAAAAATAAAATAGAGTATTAAAAATAACAGGAGTCTACACTCAAAATCTTAAGTTAATATTTCTATTTAGCTATTTATGCTTTTACTTGAAAGCAAACTTAATAAATATTATAAAAATAATTTTATTTGTGGATTTAATTAACAAGTAGTAACACTAACACCATATAATATTGCCTTGTCAATATTTATGATAATATTTTAAAATTATAATAATTTAATTAAAAAATTATAAAAAATATACTTTTAAGAAAAAAAGGCTGGCCCGGCAAGCCCGTAGCCCACGTACTTGTGGGCTGGGCCAACTATTTTCTGGCCCACACAAAAAATGGGCTAGCCCGGCTTGACCTGTCAAATTTCAAAGCCTGTATGGGTTAGCCCGGATGGGATGGGCTAGCCCATATTGACACCTCTAGTTAGTGTTAGTTTTTTTTTTTAATATAATAAGAATATAATATAATAAGAATATTATTTATTAAACTAAAATAAAAAATAAAACAATTTTTTTTGTTATTTTCAAATCTTTTAAAATAAACTTACTAAAATATATAAAATTAAAATATCTAAAAAAAATGTAAAACCTTATGTTCGATCAAAAATTACGTGTCTACAATTATGCATTTGTATATATGGTAAGCGAGATTGAGAGAGGGAGGAGAGAGCCGATCAAGAGAGGGTAGAGAGTGGGAGATAGGTGAATTGTATATGTATATCCGTTAGATAATTGTATATTACACATATGTATTTGTATATTCTAGCGAATTATACATATACAAACGTGACTAATTATACAAACTCGAAGTCAACTCATGTAATTAATGTATAATGTTAGTCGCGAATGGTAATTATAGCAAACTATAGCTATGATGAGTACTTAAATAGTATAAGTTTGTTTAATCGCGTAATATTCCCATATTTATTTGTGATATATTTCACTGATAGACTTTTAAGAATTAATTATAATATAATTAAAAATAAATAATAAAAATAAACATGATAAATATAAAATATAAATGATGCCCACTAGGGGTGTTCACGGTTTGGATAAAAATCGATCCAAATCGAAAAACCAAACCAAACCGATAAAATAAAACCAATTTTATTTGGGTTTGGTTTGGTTTGGTTTTAGATTTTTGAAAACTGATAGTATTTGGTTTGGTTATGATTTTATTAAAAAAAAACCCGAAGAAATAACCAAACCGAACTGATGAATTATATACATATATTTTATTAATATACATACTTAATATATTGTTTTTATAAACAATTTTAAAGATCTTATACATATTTTCATTCAAATTTCTTTATAATTTACTTATTGAAAGCAAAAATGCCCAATATGAAACATTTATCTTATTGATTTCATGTATATGAGTGTCTTTTTTTCACATTTTAAATGAATTGTTTCTTTTATTTTTGTGTATGGTTAATAACCGAACCAAACCAAACCGAAACCGATAATCACCAAACCGATAAATGTATATTATATTTGGTCTGGTTTGATTTTGATAATTTTAAAACCGATTAAGTTGATTTGGTTTTGGTTTTGACCAATAACCGATCCAAACCAACCCGTGAACACCCCTAATGCCCACAAAATATTTTCATGACCCCATCTTAGGAAGAATCTTAAAAAAGTAAGTTTACAATTGAAATCTTAAATGAATTCCACATTTTTTTCATTGGATGAAGAAGAGGGAGCATATAGCAGGTTTTTTTCCATTTTTTAATTGGATGTAGCAGTTTTTTTTTTATATATAAATAAAGAGCATATAGAAGAGGCAGCCAAGGGGAATAAGCAGGCAGCACAAGCAAACCTGTTGACGGTCTATTGCTATTCTCCTTTATTAGATAGTATATAATAATAATAATTATAATTATTCCTCATGCATATCTCTCATGACTCGTGAGGAATAATTTTTATATTATAAAATCAAATTTTAGGAGACCACTTTTTAGTCATAGAAAAGACAATTCATTGGTGTTTTTTTTTGCATCTCTTCCACTAATACTCCCAAATTTTGGACCTAATGAACAAGCTCTAATGACTCATTGTCTTGTTCATCTACAACATTCTCCTGTAATGACGTTCAAAATTTGGACATGCAAAGGCATAAACAACTTTATTAATAGCATTATTATACATATGTTGTTAAATCCTATTAAGACCTAAGAATTACATATTGTATAGTTTGTATTACTGTGGGTGTTAGTTACAATAGTTAGTTAGATATTTAACCATATTCAGTTAGAGTTAGAATGTGTATAAATAGATAGCTTGTATTCATTCCAAAACTACTTTTCATAAAATGAGAATCCAAAGTCGTTCTCTCTTAGCATTGTTGTAGTAGCTTCTCATTCACCATTAATGGTGATTCTCGAGCTCGAGTAGCGAGATTTAACATGGTATCAGAGCCTTAACAACATTTCTTTTCCTCAATTTCATTCTTCTCTCTTTCCTTGGTGTTTACTCTGCTTCCCTCTTCACGATTCACGATTCACGATTCTATCGATTCAATTTCTCTCGATCTCATATCTCTGCGTTTCGATCTATTCAATTCTCATAATGGTTGAAGTTGTCGATCCAGCTGTTGAATCTTCTATTCCGACTCACATTGATGTAAGAAGTCAATTGTATATTCATCATTCTGATAGTGCAGGTGCGGTGTTGGTCCATGTTCCTTTCGATGGAGTTGGTTTTAGTTCATAGAAGAGAGGTGTTCTCCGTTCGCTGTTAGTGAAGAACAAGTTGGGCTTCATCAATGGAGAGTGCTTAAAACCATCATCGACTTTCCCCAATTATCGCCAATGGGAACGATGTGATACCATGGTTACTTCATGGATCCTCAATTCCCTAAGCAAAGACATTGTTGATAGTGTCGAGTACGTGTTTGATTCATTGGAATTATGGAGTGAGCTAAAGGATCGATATGATCAAACTAATGGTGCCAAGTTATATCATATCCAAAAAGAGATTAACGATCTAAGTCAGGGATCTCTAGATATCACTTCCTACTATACCAAGATGAAGAAACTTTGGGAGGAACTCAGCAATTTATGTGTGAAAAATCAGTGCAGCTGCTTGTGTACTTGTGGTGCCAAGGACACTATGCATAAGGTAGAACAAGATAGACGACCAATCCAGTTTCTTATGGGCCTCAATGAAGCATACACTATCATTCGTGATAGCATCCTCATGATGAAACCATTGCCTTCTATGGGCCAGGCATTTGCTCTCTTAATTCAGGAGGAGAAACAAAGAGAGTTTAAGCCTAACAATCATTTTTTTGCAGATTCACCCTCTATTTGTGCTAGCTCCTCAACTAGACAGTCGCGACATATTGGAGGCCACTCAGGTGGACGAGGCTTCCACACTAACTACACGCAGAACACTGGGGGAAGAGGAACAAGACCTTTCTGTGAACATTGTAAGAGGTTGGGCCATACGAAAGATAAGTGTTACAAGTTGCATGGTTATCCTGATAAGCCATCTTCTAGCCCAGGACCTAACAACAACAATACTTAGAAAAATCCATTCAACTCCAATTTCAATCCCAATAACTTCAATTTCAATCCCAATTACAGAGGGTATAAATGAAAAGGTACTACAACAAATGTTCATGCTCATGGAGAGCTACCCTCTTGTTCGAGTGAGAGAGATGATCTTCCTTCTTAGAATGGACATCTCAACACCTTGTCGACAGAACAATACAATCACTTGATCAACAGGCTGCAAGCCTCCCAAGGAGGAAACATGAAAGATCCATTCGCTGCATCAACACCTGCTAATCGAGCTGCTAACTTTGCAGGTATAATTGCTTGTAACTCTTCCATTGATTATGGCAAACTTTCATGTGGTTGTTTCAAAGCAAAAACTGACTTGTAGATATTAGATTCTGGAGCCACACACCACATTACCTTTAATAAGAATCACCTGCCCAAACTCATCACAATACAATATCCTATACTTGTAAGTTTACCTAATGGATATAAAGTTAAGGTAACAAAAATTGGAGAGACACCACTGACCTCTGGGATCATTTTATCCAATGTCCTTTTCATACCTACCTCCCAATATAATCTGATCTCTATCAGTGCTTTGACAGATCACCTCCAATGTACTGCATTCTTTACTAACTCTTCATGTCTACTGCAGGCCCCTTCACTGAGGAGGCCTCTGGAGATTGGTAGAATGCATGATGGATTGTATTTCCTTTGCTCTCACTGTGTACAAATGAGGAACTCTTCTGTTTCCTGTTTCTCTACTGAAAATAAAGACAATTATCTATATAGTTCTCATCTTCATTTTTGTATTTCTGATGTAACAAAATCATTTGATGATAATAAAAACAATATTTCAGCTTCCAATTCTTACATGTCCCATGCTAATTCTGTTATTGATCCTTCTATGTCTCATGCTAATGCTACAGACCTAATATGGCATTATAGATTAGGCCATGTTCCCTTTGTAAAAATGAAGAAATTGACTTCCATCCCTGTGACTTTTTCACCAAAACAGTTTTTCTTTTGTCCAATTTGTCCTATGGCTAGACAATCTAGGCTGTCCTTTCCCAATAGAATCACTACTTCACCCCACTGTTTTGACCTGCTACACATAGATCTTTGGGGGCCATACCACATTAAAACATATGACAACTACAAATACTTTCTTACCTTAGTTGATGATCACAGTAGGGCAACCTGGACACATTTGTTGAGTTGTAAAAGCAATTCCTTTGGTGTAATTCAAGCTTTTGTACTTGTGGTTGAGACCCAGTTTCACACTTCAATCAAGATCATCAGATCAGATAATGGTCTGGAATTCTCCAATAATGCGGCAAATTCATTCTTACAGTCCAAAGGGATTATACACCAGAAAACCTGCCACACACACCACAACAAAATGATGTATTAGAAAAGAAGCACAAATACCTACTTGAGACTGCTAGGGCTTGTTATTTCAATCTAAACTACCAACCAAGTATTGGGGTGAGTGTATCTTAACAGCCACCTACATCATTAACAGACTGCATTCACCAATCCTACACAATAAATCTCCCACTGAAGTATTACACCAAGTCACACCATCTTATTCCCACTTAAGAAGCTTTGGTTGCCTATGCTATCCTACCATACCAAAAGTCCATAGAACCAAATTTGATCCAAAGACCATCCCTCATGTCTTCATAGGGTATCCACCTACTACCAAAGGGTATAGAATGTTGAACCTAGCCACTAGAAAGATCCATATCTCCAGCGATGTAGTGTTTCATAAGACAATTTTCCTCTTTTCTTTGACAACTGATACTATCAAATTTCCCACATCTCCCTTTTATTATTCCAGCATTCCCGATCATTCCCTTCAACATCCTGATCCAAGTACTACATTCTCCAATCCAAATATTATTCCTGATAACTCCTCCACAAGTCCTGTGTATTCTAATACTGAACAACATTCCATAACTCATGACAACTCCCATGTAACTGTACCTGACTCTGATAATTCTGCACCAAACTCCCTAAACATACATCATGTTCTCAGGAAGTCCACTAGAGATCATAAACCACCATCATACTTAAAATATTTTATCCATCATGCACCTCAGTCCTCCTCTAATTCTCTTTCTGCCTCTTATCAGCACACTAACCAAATTGTTTCTGAGGATTTACTACCTGCTAGTCAGTCTTTTGTGATGAATATTTCTTATGATTGTGAGCCTTCATCTTATGAAGAAGCAGCAATGAACTCTGCCTGGCAAACATCCATGACACATGAGTTCCTAGCATTACATGATAATCATACATGGGATTTGGTACCTTTACCCCCGGCAAGAAACCCATTGGGTGTAAATGGGTGTATAAGATAAAACACAGAGCATATGGTAGTGTAGAGAGCCTAAAAGCTAGGCTGGTAGTAAAGGGTTATACACAACATGCTAGGATTGATTACAATGAAACATTTTCTCCAGTTGTCAAGATGACAACAGTCAGAGCTTTGCTTGCCACTGCAGCTAAGAAGCATTGGGACATCTTTCAAGTGGATGTTAACAATGCATTTCTCCATGGAGAACTACATGAAGAAGTTTATATGGACATTCCCCAAGGACTGGATATAACTAAGGGTATAGAAACTGGTAGCTCTAGGCTTGTTTGCAAATTGAATAAGTCATTGTATGGCCTTAAGCAAGCTAGTAGACAGTGGTATGCAAGATTGACTGATGCCCTCAACTCTAGAGGTTATACTCACTCTATGAATAACTATTCTTTGTTCTATAAGAAATCAGGTTCCTCCATCGTATTTGTGGCTGTTTATGTGGATGATGTGTTACTTACTGGTACTGATTTAGTTGAAATTAACAGCTTGAAGTCTTATCTTCATGAAACCTTCAAGATCAAAGACCTAGGAAAGCTGCACTATTTCCTTAGCCTGGAGGTTTTGTATAAACATAATGGAATACTCATCTCTCAGCGAAAGTTTGCACTTGACCTGCTCAAAGAGTATAACTGCACTCAGTTTGCACCATTCTCTTCTCCTCTTGATCCTTTAATCAAATTAAGAGCTGATGAAGGACCCTTACTCTCAGATCCTGCTTATTATCGAAGGTTTGTTGGTAAGTTGAACTTCCTCACAAACACAAGGCTTGATATTGCATATGGGGTTCAACATCTCAGCCAGTTCATGCATGCACCTCGAGAGCCACATCTGCAAGCATCATTTCACATGTTGAGGTACCTTAAGCAAGATCCTACACTAGGGATTTTTATGTCCAATTCAACTGACTGCACAGTTCGATCCTTTTGTGATTCAGATTGGGCTTCATGCCCTGATTCCAGAAAATCTGTTACTGGATATATAGTTTTACTTGGTGATAGCCCTGTGAGTTGGAAGTCTAAGAAGCAAGAAACCATCTCCTTGTCTTCAGCTGAGGCTGAATACAAATCCCTTAGGAAAGTCGTTGGTGAATTGGTTTGGTTACATAGGTTATTCAGTGAATTGACTATTCCCACTACAAGTCCATTTCCAGTATTTTGTGATAGCCAGTCTGCACTGCACATTGCTCAGAATCTTGTTTTCCATGAACGTACCAAACACATTGAGATTGACTGCCATTTCGTCCGAACTAAACTTCAAGAAGGGCTCATCACTCTCCATTATGTACACATTGATCAGCAGTTGGCAGATATCCTAACTAAGGCCCTCACAAGAGTCAAGCATTCCACTGTATTGTCCAAGTTGGTTGTGGCTGCTTCCCCACCAACTTGAAGGAGGGTATTAAGACCTAAGAATTACATATTGTATAGTTTGTATTACTGTGGTTGTTCATTACAATTGTTAGTTAGATATTTAACCATATTCAGTTAGAGTTAGAATGTGTATAAATAGATAGCTTGTATTCATTCCAAAACTACTTTTCATAAAATGAGAATCCAAAGTCGTTCTCTCTTAGCATTGTTGTAGTAGCTTCTCATTCACCATTAATGGTGATTCTCGAGCTTGAGTAGCGAGATTTAACAAATCCATTAGCAATTGTAATGACGTTCCAGTTCACCCCTCAAGTGAAAAAGGATATATCATCATCACAATATATTTTATCCAATTATCAATTTGAATCAAATTCTCCAAGAAATAATTTACAATTGCTCAAAAAAATTTTTTTTATCACTTTCTACAATGAGTTAAATACTTGATAATATTAAGTTTTAAAAAAAACTATAATCAATACAGAAATATAAACTAATATCAAAAGTAAGTAAAATAATCAATGATCAAAACATGGAAACAAATTACAATATATAATTAATCAAGTTTCTTAAATTTCAAATAGGGTGAAAAATATTTATAAATGTCAGGATATTTTCTTAATCATTTTGATGCCAATTTGTCATTTTGAAAAGATACACTAATACATTTTATATATATCCTACATATAATTTTAGAGCATTAATCATGTCTACTTTAATTTAAAAATCAACTTATAATGTTTTAATCGAGTACATATTTTCAATTGTCAATTTAAAATCATTTACAATTTAATTATTATAACTAATCCACGTTCCACAAATAAATATTTTACTTTGTTAAGCTAAAAGACATAGTTGATTAATTGAGAAATTAATTTATATCAGTATTACTTCGAGTTGGTCTAATTTTAAGGGGGGGGGGAAATGGATTTTGATTGAAGCATTTGATTACAAATTGTTCTAATTCAGCTACATCTTTAACATTTTTTTTTGGTTATAATCGAAACAAAGTGCCATCTTTATTAACCCCAAACCAACCCAGCTCTTCGGATTTACGGCTAGCCCAATTGAGATCCGATCCAATTCCCTCGTTAATCCAATCATCTTCATTCATACACAAACCCTAATAATCTCTCCTCTCTCAGCAACTCGACGCCGGCCAAATCGGTAAAGGATTCGAGGAAATCTCGCCTCGTACAGCCATTGTTCGCCGGAAACCATCAACTCCTCTTGTTTTCTCCTCAAGCACGAGCTCCAAACGGTAACCGCGCCTATCTTGTTTTCCTCTTTTTCTTTTTCTTTCAATCTTTAGTACGATCATAAGGACGAATACATCTGGATTTCAAGTCTCTTCTAGAATCTGTTGAATTGAAAAATGAATTGCATATCCGGATGAATTCCTACATGGATGCAAATCTCAAACCATAGACATTTGGGATATTCACTCTCTCGGCTAAGCATGTTATTTTATCCACGAGACTAATCATTCTCTCTTTTCATTCAAGTGTCATTTCTGTTGACTCCACTGTGAGATTCGAAGCATTTTCATCTCTCCCTCGCTTTAGTTGGCTGCCCCCGAGAAAGGTAACATTCTTCCCTTTTTGTAATTTTTTTTTTGATGACAAGGAAACCCGCAGTCGCTACCATTTGGGTGCGCACAGGGTAAAATCCCGCTCCTATGCAATAGCTCGCAAACCACATAGGAGAGGTAACCGCACTAGGCAAGCTTGGTGCGACAAGATCGACCCAGAAGGCAAACCCCTTAATTTCGCTAGCAAGGAGTTTCAAACTTGAGACCTCCAACATGGAAGTCCCAAGCTCAAACCACTGGGCCACCCCGAAGGGTTCCCCTTTTGTAGTTTTGTTATGTGCTATCTAAATTTCAGTATTAGAATAGTTCAAATTTTATCATTTGGTAATCCCTTTTTTTTTCAGTTCTATGTGGTCTTTGGTATTGGTTTGCTTAGTTCTGCTTCCTGTTTAATTTCGGCATTAGCGATTCAATCTTTGTTAGAAGGCTTTGCTTAGCTTCTGTATGAGTAAAAATCACAAGTAAATCTTATCAAATAACCCTAAGGCCGTCTCTTAGACTTATTTATGTTTGTCCAAAATCATGAATTAGTTTTGTTTGCTTGGCAGTCATCAGATTTTGTGTGTAAAACATGTTCTCTTCCAGTAATCTTTTCTTCCTCTTTTACTTCCTGTTGTCTTTCCTTATTTTCTTTAAATTCAGATTGGTAAATATGTGTTAATTTTGACATCAGTTAGTACAACATGCTCATACACCATTTATCATAAAGAATAGAACTCAAATGCCTTACTTTCCTTGGAATTCAAAAGACGTGTTGAGCAAGAAATTCGTATCTACCTTTTAGAATGAATTGGTTTGGTTACTTACTTAGTAGCAGATTTTGAAGCTAGTGATTTTGTTTTTTTAGTCAAAGAGGTTCTGAATATGAAACCTGTGCCTATGCTCCATGTCTAAAATTAAATGTTCTCTAAACTGGATGCGAACGGTGAACATGCACTCTCTAGTCATCTTACACTAAATAAAAAAGGGAACTCACAGATATTTTCCTTACACTGAACAGAAGATTTTGTTCTGGTAAATTTTAAAAAAAAAAACAAATACTGGACGATCTTTGGCAGCACAGAACCATTTTTCAATGTGCTGTGTTCTCAATCCTTATATTGATACTTTGAAGTTTCTTAAATCTAGGGTTTCGACGTGTCTTCAATCTCATCTGTCCCTTCTTTCAATGGCTTCTAGCTCTCATAGAGGTGGTGATTTCTACGGTGCGGCTTCCCACAGATCCAGGTATTTACTCAATAAAAGATTATCATCTTCTAAATTTCAATTTGTTATGGTTCTAATTGTTTTCACAATTTGAGTTTTGTAATAGAGAATTACCAAAAGTATAACCTAATTTGCAGAAAATTAAATGATCTACACCTTTTTTTTTGAATTTTTTGTTTTATTTTAATAAATTAAGATGTTTTGATGTGTTGGATTTATCAGAGATGGATTGAGTACGAGGCCAGTAGGTGGTTCAGATGAAATACAGTTGCGGATTGATCCCATGCATGGAGACCTGGATGATGAGATCACTGGTCTTCGCAAGCAAGTAAAACAGCTCAGAAATGTATGTTTCCGTAACCACCTTGTTTTGGTTTTCTATTTTTGATTTAGTTGGTAAATAGCTTTTGCATAGTTGTTGGCGTCTTAAAGATTTATGTACATGCCAAATTCAGTGATGTGCTATGTCATGGATCCATTTTAGACAAGGTGATGTGTTATTTATTAGAGCACTGAATAATATTTCTAAGAAAACCAATATAAAACTTACTGGTCTTCTTTGAGATAGTTAAAGTCTCTCCCACGGGCAAATAGAAGTTATTTTTCCTCATTATATTAAAGATTGATACCATCACAATGGAATTTAGTGCATCGTTTTATTCATTTATATCACAAGACACATAATACTTAGTTAAGGAAGCAATAAGTCTTAAATTTGTCTTTCATATGATTTTCTAAAATGGAATCTTGAAATTATATAGAAGATGGGATTTGACAAAACAAAAAAAAGATGTTCTAATATCAATACACCGCCTTTGTGTAATGATCCAAATGTTGGTGGTATGTGGGGGGTTCTCTTTTAACTTGCTAAGCAACTGATGGAGAGTGGGGAATGGAAACAAAGATTTATTGTGTCACATTTAATTGATCAAATCGTACTGGATTAGAAAAATGTTAATTCACTTGTTGACTTTTACATTTCCACCGGTAAGACTGCTGGATAACGCTCAACTGTCGAGATATTCTGGTTCCCCAGAGGTATTCTTTGCATAAAAGCACATTGTATTAGAACTTAAAAGCATGTGTTAAGTGTTTTTCTTTACTCATTGGTTTCAATGGAATCAATTGCTAGATTAAAAAGATATGAAGTTTGGCTGGATATTGAGCAAGTACTACCTTATTTCTGGTCAGTTATGTCTACTTTCATTTCTGGTATGGGCCTATTATGATGTTCTATCATGCCGACATACTTCGGTCCGGTCTTTAAGGTGGATGCTAGAGAGATATCACCGCTTATATCTAGGTTCTAAATCCGTCCTTGTGAAATCTGAAAGTTGGTGGACAGGTGTCGTGTTATAATATATATATATAGTTCATTCATGACTGGATCAGAGATATGTTGTCATTTCTACAGGCTATTTGTGGCTTCATAATAGGAGACCAGTAATCGCAAGACTAAGAGCCCGTTTGGATTGACTTAAAAAAAGTAACTTTTAAAAAGTAACTTTTTAAAATGCTGAAACTTATTTTAAAATTAAGTAGTTATGTGTTTGGATAAAAGTGCTGCAGTTGAAAAAAAAGTTGTTGATGTGTTTGGCAAATAAGTGCTGGTAAACACTTTTTTTAATCAAAATGTCTGAAATACCCTTTAAGCTGTTAACATGATAAAAAGTTGATTAATTTAAGGTTTTTATACTTAAAAAAAAAATTAAAACAAAATTAATTTATGTTTTACATCCATAAGTAATAATATTTTTCTATCATTCACATATTTCTTTACCACCACAAATTATTTATAAGAGGAATAATAATAATAATAATAATAA